TGTGTGGGGGGGAGGGGGGGAGGGGGAAGAGAAGCCTATATAAATCATGTTGGTACAGCAATTCTAAACCTGTAGTACCAAAAAACCTCCTTAACCCTTTACCTGTTTCATGTTATACACCTCTTCTGGGTAAACCTGGAGTTTAAGCAACGCCTCTTGGGGCTGGGAAAAGAAAACTATCATTCCCCAAGCAGACAATATGGTGCAGTAGGTAAAAACAAAAGTAATAATAAATAAAACCCCCACACACATCATTTTCCTTATAGACAGAGAACAAAATCTGCACTCTCCACTATTGAAAATTGATACGTTTGGAAACCACTGTCCTTCAAACAAAGGCATATCCTCATGCACTTCAGCTAGTATTCACTTTAAAAACTGAAATCAGTGGCTATTACTAAGTACTTTTGAGAGTTCTACGAACTTCAGGAATTCAGAACAATCAGTCCACATCTGATTTCACATTTATAAGCAGATTTTTAAGGTGATATCATAAAAGAAAAACCAGAACACAAACACATTAAACACTCCTCACCATTTCAAAGTTTCTACGGTGACTATCTAACGGAAGAGACCAACCATTTCATTTGTCACAAAACAGAAGATCCAAATGAAGGAACAAAATTATGCTCATTCATCTGGGCTAAGCTATGCTATAAAAAGTATACAGGCAAATGAGATTGAGAACCATTTAAAAAGAGAAAGAAAATCACTACATATTACTTTTTAGTTCCACAACAGAGGTTTCTGAAATCTACATAGTAATTTTGTTTGTACTTCAGGAAATGCACTTGGTTATTTATGTCACTCCTGTGCAGGGCTTTTGCTTCTGTTGCCACATCAGCTACCTCCCTCCGCTGCTACCTACTATAAATAGTTCGGGAGTGGACGTGTGTTCAAGAAAAGTGTAATTTTACACTAGCTGGATGGTTTTGTTTTCAAAAAGACCAAGGACTAAAGATTGCTAAAACCTTCTGTGCTTCTAACTGGTTGGGCATATTTAGTCCCAGTTGCCCAAAATGTCATCTCAAAGTCCCCACTGCAAGCACACAGTCAGTTCTTTGGGTGACTCTAATGGCAGTAATCAGTTGCCTGTATGTTCAGTGAGTAAGGACATAGCTTTGAAATAATCTCCCATCTGTCTCCTCATCGCGAGGAAGCATTTTCCTCAGGTGGTGACCACTGCACCCATGTAACCATACATTCAAAGAACCGTCCTGAGCACTCCAAATACTGGAACAGAAACGCACCTTTTGTTATCTTCAAGACCCAGCCTCTGCACATGCTCCTCAATCTAAAATATTTAGGTAAGCTGCCCTACTAGCTCTCTTGCCCCCAGTATGATTAGGCATCAGCCTGGAAGTCACTAAAGCAGCAGCAGAGTCCCTGCTTTTTAGCTCAGTTGTCAGAAACAGCTACAAAAATATCTTGGACTCATCTTTATCCTTGAGCTGGCAGAATTATGTTGAGTGTTCTAGGAACATTTCAAGAGGTAAAAGGAGAAGTTTCATTGACCTGTGGTTATCCTATACATGCATGATCTATGCCAGAAGTGTGAAAATGCTCTATGGACAGATGTGCTGGAGCTTTAAAGTCTTTTCCCAAACACTACCAAACTGTGGTTAAACAAGCTTCTCAATTAAAAGATTTAAAATTCTGATTCTGACAGCTTCAAGTTGTTAAAATTCAGCCAAGTCCACAGCAACTGAAAACAACGTCTTGTAACGGGGTACATGAGAATGACAAGCCTTACTTCTGTAAACATGGTAAGGAAAGTGTTTCAACTCTTTTAGGAGAGCCTGAAACTTCTTAATATCCAGCATTTTTTTAAGTAAGCTGTTGATTTCAGCAACTGCAAAAGCCCAAACTGTATATTAAAGTAATACCTTCTCAGAGTTGCTGTTAATCTTCAACTATCCAATGTCAAGTTCTCAGTCACATTCTGCCTGTGAAGCTTCCCCTCTCCACAAAGTCAGTTGTTCTACACCTAAATGGTTTTTATTCTTCCCTCTCTCAGTACCTGCATTTCTAATACAAAGATATGGAGAGCCGAAGACACCATTAAATGAAGTGTAACTTCCATATTTTTTCCCCATATACCATTCTCTGATCTGATGTCAAGTGTAGTATTTTTTATTAACACACAGGAGACAACCTTGCTTATAAGCACAAACTACTATTACCAAACTATTTCAGTACTTCTTGTCTTTGATGCTACAGAACGATAGAGAAATGAGATCCACGCAAACTTCTGCAGTTTGAACCTATCATAGCTTAAGACATGCTGCCACATCGCTCTCTTTAATCCAGGCAGTCATTTTTACTTCTTTCCTGCATTCCTCATAATTGTGTGGCTGCACTGCACCATGTTAATACTAACCCTATTTTAGTGCACCTTCATGTATTCTCATTTCATCCAACACACACATGCTGGCATTTTTGGTCTAGCTTCTCCTTTGCACTCAAGTTTACAGGCCTAACACAGAACTGTCAGTTTTGAACCTGGGTGTTACAACAGATCAAGGCAGAGTGCCCATTTCAGCTGCATTTACAGTGAAGCATGATAAAGTTTGCAATGCAAATGTAATAGAGGCAGTTTTCAAAAGCCTGCATAAACTGAACTTCTTTTTCTTTTTAATGCAGGTTTAGAATTTTATATTGACCTGGCTTTTAGTCCTCATTTGGATGTCTATGAGTAATACGAAAAGGTTCAAACCTTCCAAATTTAGAAAAGTAGATAAACAACCTAACTAGTATGTGTTGGTCTTGCACAATGAACCTTCTTGCATTTGTAGTTGAGTAGGTGATTTTTCTATACAAGTGTCAACAACAGAGCTATTCAGAGATATTACACTGCACATTTTTACAGCGTAGCTGCTGCTTTTTTCCAGTAAACAGTCACAAGCTGTTCCAGACATGGAACAGCAGTCAGCACTTCCATGTGACGTGAGCAGTCAAAGAATGATCTCAGGAGACAAGAGCAGTTTGTTTAAACTCTGACGGGAAACCAGAAGGTTGCCACCCTTAAATATAAAGCCTAATCACGTCTGATAAAAATATTTCTACGTAGAATACACGGACCACAAAAATAACACAAGAGACTGAAAGATCTATCTAGCTAATACACCTTCCACTTTACACACAGCCTCAGAAACTGGTAAACCTCGGAAAAATTCTGCCAAATCCCCCAAAAAGCACATGTAATTTGACTGTCTCATATTTTGGGCATTAGGAGAATTCATGGCATGCATCTAGTGCACCATGACATGTAGCACAACCTGCTGCAATTCAAATGAAGTTCAGAAGGCAGAGCAGGCACGTGGGGGAACTGGAGACAACAGCGGCACAGCTGAAAATGCTGAATTCAGTGATGGGCAGAGCAGGGGACCAACAGGGAGCACAGCTGCTGAGCAACAGCACCAGCCTGGTCTCCCCAGCCTGCAGACACACCAAGCGAGTCTGCTCTGTGCTTTATTTCTGCAAAACCTGAAAAAGCAATCCCAAATCAGTGACATCCTAAAATAAAGGATGGTCTGCACCATTTTGTCTGCTATTGAACTGCACTTTTGCAATTTTTGGAGCCATGCCCTACAGGATCAAGTTTAATTTGTTTCTCTTATGAAGGTAGTAATTTGTAACTTACAAATGTTGGATCTAATAACCTGAACACATGCAGATCGCAAAATATCTTGAAAGTTTTCTTAGCTCTTTTGTGTATGGTGTGTCCATTTTATAACTATTTGTTATCAATAAGAGGGCAATCAGACAGTAAGTACATTTGACAGATCTGAAAAACTAAGCAATAATTGCTAGAATTAGCACTGCATTAGAACTTGTAATTGGAAATTTCTGCATTTGCTCTGGAACAAGGATCTGGATTCTCTGTAGCAGTAGGAGATGCATAAACAATCCTCTTTCACCTGTATAGACAGTTCTCATGTTTTCTATTTTAAGATTCTGTGTTATCTTAGCTTAAAATTCAAGAGACAGTCCACAGAAAACTCAAGTTTTCTTGAAAGTAATTTCTGGGGTTGCAGTTGTCAAACGCTTCCAGCCAGAAGAGTTTCTAGCACAGTTTTGCTGCCTGTGAGCACAGAAGGAATACAGCAGAAGGGTCTATCTTAAAGCCTTAGTTTTCAGGGAAGAATACTGATTGGGACCACAACCTTACCAACCAACGAGGTGAAACACACCAAACTGTTTCCAACAATGCTGACTGAATACAACACTGCTGCACAATGCAATAAAGTAACTGAGCAGTTTACAAGGTGACATATTCATGCTGTATTGTGTATATATACACACATATTGGTACATACAGAGAAAGAACACACGCACACATACTAAATGTGTGTTAAAATGCTAACATACAGCACATTAAGAACCTGATACTTGCTAGAGGCCATTTTCTGACTGAAATCAGACTCCACAAATGAATAATGCAAATCCTATAGGCTCAAGAAGTTTGCAGGTACACTGCATATTGCTAAGGGAAGTTTTTAAATGCTGTACTAAAGCAAAGGAATAGATTCATTAGTATAAACTTTCTTTAACGAGCATTGACATTCTAAATCAAAATCTGAATATGTATGTTTAGTGTTTGTTCAGGGTCTAATAGACATAAAGACAACAGAGTATCAAACACTTTATGCAGTCACATAATTGCTATCTAATTCATAAAATCCTAGCACCTGAATACACTTAGGAAACTAAATCCCTGCTCCTCATTTATAATGCTGATAGCAATAACCCAATGAAGGCAACAGAAAGCAGCTTATTTGTGTGAAAGATAGTCTAAACAGTTCACAACAGAAAAGCTAAATTAATTCAAGTAGCCATTTAACCATCTAAAAATGTACATTTGTGAGTTTACCTGTATTTAGAAAGACCTAAGCCTAAAACTGCTCAAAATGATTGGCAAATGATTAACTTCTGTAAATTTCTGAGTGAGAATTTCCGATGAA